GGTCTCAGAACATAGGTTTGTTTAGAGTGACCTTCTCTTAGATGGATTGCCTCACAGGGCTAACAAGCTCCATCTGCCCGGGGGGCCTGGCAGAGAGTCCTGCAGAGACCCTGAGAGAGACCCTGGCCTAGGGTGAGAGTCCTGCACCCTAACCACTAGACCACCAGAGGCCCCGGTGTTCTATATGGTGTTAAGCTGTTGACCCCTCTTGCCACCATGGGAGAAATCATTCCCAAAGATTGATGAATGGTTAATTTACCACAGATCCCTGGTAGCACTGTTATCATGGCAGTTCTCAGCTAAAGCAATGCTGATGCCACTGAGGTGCTGTCAGCAGGAGTGGTGTATTTTGTGTTCTCCTTTCCCAGCCCTCTCTTTCTCCAGTTTGTACCCACGGATAAAGAAAAAACATGATATTTTGCTTAAATACTGTGGCAGAGGGAAGTTGTCCTGGAGGCCCAGGAAAACCTCTGGATAGTGTCTCAAGGTGGATGACAGCTGAGTTATGGCATATGTGTGACTTCTGAGGAGGAGCCAGGCAGCTGGGAACAGCATGTTCCCTGCAGTGAGGCACTGCCCCTTAGAAGTGCTCACTGCTCTCTCTGTAGGGGCAAAACACCCTTTGTTGTTTTTTGAAATGGCCAAGCTCCCTGGAGCACAGCCCATTCCATTATGTCCTAAACTAAAAGAACCTGCCAGTCACCAATCACTTTTGAAGACCCTCAGCCCTGGACTGAGAAGATGAAGCCTTTTCTCCCTGTGCTGCAATCTCTTCCTGTGCACAGTGAGGCAGGTCACCAGTTAAAAGCCTAATGGGCAGGTGTTTGACCTAAGTCAGGTTATTGACTGGATTCACTTCTTAGTTTGAAAAATGCTTCAGTGTCCTAATGATGAGGGCAAAAGAGGAAAATTTACCAGATTTCCAATATTTTTCAGTTAAAGTAAACTGAGCTGCACAGTGAGCCAGGGGTCTGGCTGAAGGGTTCTTTCCAGCTCATTCCAGAGCAGATCCTTCTTGTGCTGTTTCCCTTATTTTGCACTGGGCTTTTTTTCTTCCCAGCTAATAAGAAGCAACACCTCTCCTTTCTGCTCCCCTTTTCTCCACAGTGCCCAGTACTTGTTATAGCTCTCTATTCCTACATAACTGGGGATATTCTGAATCAAGGAGGTGTCTGACCAGAGGGTTCTGAGGCTACAGCGCTTCCCAGCAACAGAAATACGAATCTACTATTTTTGATAAAGTATGACTTAACAGGTATTTTGTGTCTTTCTCAGCAAACTCTGGATGGAGGAAGGATTGGAATTGCCTCACAGGCTCTTGGAATAGCACAGGCAGCTCTGGACTGTGCTGTGGATTATGCTGAGAAGAGAATGGCCTTTGGGTCGCCCATCACAAAGCTCCAGGCAGTGCAGGTACGAGCTGGGCACGCGGGGCAGCTGGGGCTGGTGGAAAGTCCATGTGTGCTCTGAGGCGTGGTGTCAGCAACACAGTGCACTTTGCACTGCCTGGGATAAACAGGGTAATAATTTCCATTTCCGAACACTGTTAAAACGGGTTGTTTGGATGGAGGCTCCTTTCCCAGTGGCCCCAGGGGTGGGAGAATTCAGCTGTGTGTCCTTGTGCAGCAGAGGCCCTGGGCCAAAGGCAGTGTTTGTCGTTGCAGTTCAAGCTGGCAGACATGGCTGTGGCCTTGGAGGGCGCCCGCCTGCTGACCTGGAGAGCTGCTATGCTGAAGGACAACGGGAAGCCCTTCACTAAGGTACTGCCAGCCCTGCATTTGTCCAGCAGTGACAGCAGGGCACAGGCTCAGGGCTGGGGAGCCGCACTCTGAGCAGGTCCCTGCGCTCAGCACTGGTTGTGGGTGGCTGCTCCCATCTGGCACCAACGTCAGTCCTGTCTCTGCACAGCTGGGCTGTGAGGGTTCAAGCAGGTGAGGGGTTCCTTTTTGCCACAGCTGCACCCTCAGTGATGTTTTCCTTCCCCAAAGGAAGCGGCGATGGCCAAACTGGCTGCATCAGAAGCTGCAACGGCCATCGCTCATCAGGTAACTGCTTCCATTGACACCTCTGGTATACAGCACGTGGAGAGGGATGTTTGGTTGTCACACAACACAAGTGCTTTGGGAAGGTGGGATGGAGTTTACTAATTTATTGTTTAAACAAACCAACCAACCAACTACTCAACTCCTGTGGCTGAAGCTGGTTAGCACAGCCTTCTTCTGGGTTGTGGGGGAGCAGGATGACGGCAGGGATTTATACTGGCCTGTGGTAGCTGTAATTCTACAGTGATATGTGCCTGCTGCTGTACAGGGTAGTGGCAGTTTTGAGTAGGATCAGCAGTGTGGGAGACAGAGCACTGGCACACCAGTCAGCACCACTGCACCTGGAACAGGCCCTGTGTATCTCCATTTAGTGTCCCCTGTCCTTAATAAAAGCATCTTAGCTGAACATGGATCACTAACAGATATCTCTGAAGCAATTAATTCTCTGTCTGGGACATCAGTATTGCTCTTACCCAGCTCAAATGCTGTTTATTCTTTTGATTGCAAACAAGCTGCAGTCACCCCTCTGGGTCCCACCCCTCCCAGTGGGTTCAGCTCCCGTTAAAGTGGCTGTGCTTGTGTCCTGCAGACAACAAATTCCTTGACCCTGCTTCCTGTCTAACGCTGCTCTTACTTCAGGCCATCCAGATCCTGGGTGGGATGGGCTACGTGACGGAGATGCCGGCGGAGCGGCACTACCGGGACGCCCGGATCACCGAGATCTACGAGGGGACCAGTGAGATCCAGAGACTGGTGATCGCAGGCCAACTGCTCAAGGCCTACCGAGGCTGAGGCGGCCAGGAGAGCCACACACTGCCCAAGTGCCCCGTAATGGTGCTCAACAGTGATCAAGTCTGACCCTCTTGGATGAGGCCAATGATGGAGGTTTTCCTCACCAATGAGTAACTGACCCTCAGTGTACAATGTACTGACTCTTCCTTGGACAGTGGCTGGACTGAGGTTTGTAAGCTGTGAGTGCAGGAGGGAGGAGACAACCTGTGCTTGTAGGGCAGTGTGGGGCTTCTCCTGGAGCATTGGATGGGTTTGGTAGTGCCAAAATGGCTTTGGCTGTTCAGTGAAGTCAGCAGCTCTCCTTGTGCCCTTCCCAGCCAGTGCCTGTTTTGGAAAATTTGTCGCTACCAGGCACTGGATAAACAGTGCCAGAGTTAGAGGTGCTGAGAGCTGTGACCCCTTCACCCCAACCCAGGCTGCAGGTCACAGTGCCTTGAATTTCAGGTGTGTTTGGGAGCTCCTAATTGGACACAGGCTGTGTGGAGGTAATCCTGCAGCAGGGCACTTCTTCCCTCTACCAGCAGGAGAGGAGCCAGACAGGACATGCAGGAATTATGTATGCACAGAGGGGCTGAGCACAGGCTGTGGTTACCCTCTGTGGACATGTGAAAACATAGATCAGAAAGAATCCCTTGAACTGGCCAGCAAAGCCCAGCACCTCCTCACTCTGCTGCTCTGGGATGCAGGGATAGAAGCAAAGGGCAAAAAAGCTGCAGTGCCTGAGACTTTTTTTGTAAAAAAAAGGCCAAAGAAACCTCTGCTCCCAAATCTGCTTCTACAATATGAATAAGAAAGGAAGTGCCTGAAGGGGCAGTAACAGCCTTTAAATTCCTTTTGGGCAACAAGGAGGAAAACATGACACACAAACCTTACCAGGAAGCTTTAGCAGTAGCACGTGTCCTCGGTCAATGATCTTTGTCAAGACATTGCCTTTTAGAAGATTCAACAGCCATAGGAAAAACTCTAAACTCAGGAAAAGATGGAGAGGATTAAGACCTGGACTGTCTGGTCCAGCCCCTTGTCCAGAGGAGTACACTAGAGGTAAATGGTTATTTTCCTGTGGTGCCATTTATTTAGACTTGTGTGGAGAGAAGAAGAGCAGGATTCTGCCATATGTGAGAGAGCAGAGAAGACAAATAAAACCAGACTTTGAAGGACCACCAGTCCCTCCCTCTTTTTTTAATGCAAATGTGAATTAATTTAGATTATTTTCTTCCAGTCACAAGACCCAGAAGCAGAAACCAGCAGGGCCCGTGTGTACCAGTGAGACCAGTTCTCAGTGATGTCAGCCATCCATCCCTCTGCAGGGTGCTGGAGGGCAACAGCGTGTTGGGGCAAGGTCCTCAGGTGCTGAGCTGCTGCTCTCACAGACATAAGGATTGACAGAAACAGAGCCAGGCAATGCATTCAACAGGAATAGTCCTATTGGAAAACCATTCCCATGACTGTGACTGTGATTCTGTTGTACATTATGGAGAGCTTGTAGGAGAGAGACGCCTTTGTAGCTTGATTTTATCCTGTGTCACTATTTTGACTGCTGAAGGCTCACTTCTGTGACTCTGTGGGAGGAAGTGTGATATTATTTTGCACTAATTTCTCCTTGCAGCCACTCAGCTACAACAGGAGCAGCAGGGATGTGAAGATGCAGAGTTCTTGCTCGGTGCTCATCTGCACTGACCTCGTGTGCTGAGGTCACTGGAATCCCGGTGATCTAGAGAGTCAGTCACACTCCTGCCACCCAGCTGCCCTGTTCCCCTCTCATCCAGCTGCTTCTCTCAGATCCCCTTTGCTGGCTGTCAGCACTTGCCTCCCTCATTACCAGCTCTAATTGGCTACAGCTTCTCTCCAGAGTGGAAGGAAACCGCCCCTGTACACACCCCATGGTGACAGTGACCACCTTGGCTGACACAGAACACCTGGAAAACCCCGATGGATCAAATCCCTTGTGGGCAGAGAATATTGGGGAGGGGAGCATCAAGTAATGGCCTGTTCTTGGGAGAGCCCTGCTGCTGTGCCTGTGGGCAGAACCTGCTTTTGGGAATGCCTGGATGCAATACCTTCCCTGCTGCCACAGGGGCAGAGAGATCTCTGTGACCCGTGACACTGCAGTGGTCACAGCAGTGCTCTGGGGTAAACAGCACACTTACACAAAAAGGCCCAGAGCTCCCAGAGCAAAGCCATGGCTTTTCTCAGAGCAAGATACTACAAGCTTACTCTGCTGCTGCTGGCTGAGAGAACTCTCTGCTGCCTGTGCCTCTGCTCCTCAGGGCTGCTGCAAAGGAACTGCTGAACGTGCAAAACACAAACGAGTTCTGCAGCATTAAATGAGGAGCTGTTACCCAGCCACCCCCAGACAGCACCATCCCAGCCAGGTGTGGGCAGGGCCGGCTCTCCTTGGGAAGAAGGGGCTGTTGCAGGGGAAGCCGTAACTTTTTATCACTTTACAAACTCGGCCAACATCGCAGAGTTGGGGCACCGAGATGGGAAAATCAGGTCATACATAAATTAGAAACAGTTAAGGGAAAGGACATAAGCCACTTCTCCAGGACAAAAGCAACACTTCTCAAGGACATTGTGGTTTTTGCCCCACGGTGCTCTAAGTGTACATGAAACTGGTTACGAGGCAGATTGCTGGGGATGAAACGGGGGGCCCAAAGTAGAATCCTTTCTTAGGAAACAGTTACAGCAACAAGGACCTTAAAATTGATAGATTTCTTTATCACACATAAAGCTCACAGATTCTTCATTTGAGTTCCCAACAGACTAAAGGAAGAGGAGAGCTGTTCTGGGCTGCTGCAATTAAATACATACAGGTGAGAAATACTTAACAACTCCTGGGGAGCACAGACATGAGACACATCCTTTCTGTCCCATCCCTCACCAGGAATGACGAGCTGCCTGGAGTCTGGCTCCCCCTTGGAAGCATCTACCTCACAGCACAGCAGGACAGGGCTCATCACTCCATTGCACACAATTCCAAAAAAAAAAAAACTGGAAGTGCCATTTCAGCCTTCCATGTTTAAACAAGCAAGTTTTACAGGACTCAGCTGAACCTGCTGCAGTACTGCTTTCACAGCACAACAGTCTGCTCCACCAGTCTCTTCTGACAGTGTTAGCTGTTAGAAAAAAAGGACAATATATTTTGATTTTAAATTAAAACTTTGTTTTGCCCAAGTTGAGAGCCCTCAACACAGACCACACATTCAGGTTATGTAGGGAAGTTGGAAAGCATGGAAAACACCACATTTGAAAGACATCCTGAGGTAAAAAACCCAATTGGCTGTAAGAATAACAGGAATAGAGGTAAGAAAATGCGACAGCGCTGTAACTTGAATGAAAAATGGAGTTCATTACCATTTACTTAAAAAATTAATTTCAAATTCTACTCACTCACTACCTGTATAAAAAGAAAAATACTTTGGAGCCTTCCCTCTACTTCCCCCTCCAAAGAGGTCATTCTAAGCAGGGGAAGCCACCCAACCCTCAGTATGTGTTTCCTGATTCCCTCAGTGAGTGCTTCCCCTTCTCTCATGGAACACTCTGTGCTCCCAGGCAGTGCCCTGTGCCCTCACACCAGCTGGGTGAGGCTGTGACAACTGCCCTGGGTGCCCCAACAGGCCAATACTGACACAGGGTGACCTGCTTCCACTTCTCACACTTTCTGCCCACACAGACTGGCCACACACCCCAGGCCATTTTGGAACTCCTCATGTTTGCAAGGTTAAGTGTGACCTTAGGGAAATTTCAGAATACAAACAAGTGCCATTTCTAAGCTGACTATTCCCAAAGTCACAGCAGAAAACTGACTCCAGACTGTCAGCAGATTTGTACAGTACAATTCTGGTCCGTATTCTGACAACTATGCTATAAATATGCTCCAGTCTATCACTTTTCTGCCAGCCTCATTTTGCATTCCTGCAAGAAAGCTTAAGTGAGTGAAAAAGTTATTAAGGTAATTCTAACAACTTTTCAGAAGAAAGGGCAGGTAGTTTGGCCATTTCACCTGCAGGACTTTGTGTCAAATAGTTTATGAAGGAATTCAACAGACTGTTAAATGACGGCGACATCAGCAACCATACCAGACCCCACAGGGACAGGAACCCGGGCCCTGCATGGCCTCCCAAAATCCAGGGGACCCAAAGCAGCCTGTATAGTTTGATCCTCAGGCAGAGACTGGGGAGCCAAGGACAGAAGGTCCATCTGTGCAGGGAGGGCCCAGAGCCAGGGAGGATCCACTTGTGATCTCCCTGAACGCTGAGGTGGGTCTGGGTGGGAGAGCTGTGGGACAAAGCTTTGCAGCTGTAACTTACTCAAAGCCCTGGGAAAGCGCTTTTCCTTAGGACAGTTATGCTTCAGTGAACCCCTGCAATGCACCAAAACCCTCTTCCTGCCAGCTGAGGGGGCAGCAGACACCTTTCAGTCCAGTGTGTGCTCACCTGGGCAGTGCCAGTGGAACCTGTGGGGCAGAGACAGAGGACTCAGTTACAACACTCTGCTCTCCTGGGGCAGGAGGGCAATACAGCTTAACAAGGGAGGCCATGGATTTTCTGTAAAGCTGGACTAATTGTCATTAAGCATTTATCGATTAGCATTTATCAATTAGCATTTCTAGAGCTTTTTCCAGAATGCCTCTAAGTGTAGAAATTGTTCACAGGGATGCTTTCTAGGCAGGGCCTAAAAATGCCACTGCAAGACAAAGGAAGACCTTGTATTTTAATTCCAAAGCTGGAGGGAACTGCTGTGAAGCTGATGGCACCCGAGCTGTGCATGACTGTCAGGTGGGTGCAAGGGCTGGGCAGATAAAACAGTAGCAAATTGAACCTGAAGTTGTTATTCCACTGCTTGGAACCTCTGGGCAAAAAAAAAAGCAACCAAAAACATGCCTTTTTTTTCTTTCTCTGAATACTCTCCTGAATATTTTATTCACCTTTGGTTTGAGGTGTGTAGCTGAAAACTTGCCTTTCTGTTGTCCCTAGCAAGTCTGAGATCTAAGAACTGCTATGGACAGAAAAAATCAGGTTTTTAGTTAAAAACTTATTCCTTTAAAAGTGACAGGTACCTGACAATGCACACTGCAGGCACATGCTGGAGGGAATGGTTTCAGCTAAGAGAGAGAGAACTGAGGAGTAGTGGTGGTGTGATAATAAATAAATAAATAAATAAATAAATAAATAAATAAATAAATAAAAAATAAAGTCACAGCATCTCCCCTGACTCACCCAACCACACCTGCTAAATCTTAGGGCCTCCCCAGATGGCTGAGCTGTTTCTTACTGTTTCCTGGGATGTTCCAGCTGTCTTGGAGGTGTGTCCCAGCCCGCTCAGACGCATCAGCCCCGTCAGCTCCTCTGCCATCAGTGCCAGAGCTGCCTGAGAACAGAGGAGGGCGTTAATTAATGACATTAACTAATGACAGTGCACACCCATGGCTGGATGAAATTTCCTGCCATGCCCAATATGCTCCTGCTGTACCCCCAGCTGGGCAGAGCATCAGGTGTTTCACCAAACCCTCCTCACCTACCAGAACAAAACCAGACCCAAACTCTGTCCCTGCTCAGTCAGAGTCACTCTTGAACATTCCTCCTTCCCCACCCACCAACAATTCTCAGCTTCTGTCAATGAGCTACCAGCTTTTGGGAAGAGCTCCCCACACCCAGCTTGGCACACTGCTTTAAAGGAAAAAAGTTTAGTTACCTCAGGAAAGCCTTTCAGTCAATAAAATAACAACTGGAACTGCTGGTTTAAAGAAAAAAGAATAAAATCCACATTTTAACAAGCTACAGGTACAAAGCAGTCAACACACAAACTCCAACCAGTCACAACAGTAAAGGACAGTTTTTCTTTTTTCCTTTTTTTTTTTTCTTGTTTTCTTTAAGGGGCAGGGGCATGGAAAAATACAGCACACTAATGAAACAAAATGCAAAAAATACAAAAAAATAGAAAATAGAAAAAATGTATTTACAAGTGATACATTACTATGATCAGAAAGCACAAAGACAATTGCTGCTATAATACATGCACTGGGTCAAGAAGGAACTACTAAAAACCTGCAAGGGAGCTGTTTGTAAAAAAAGAAAATAAAAAAAGGGAGGAAAAAAAAAGAAAAAAGACACCCCCACCTCCTCCCCCCTCAGACACACAGGGCTGGGTTTGAACTT